TCGAGGTCGAGTCTTGCAGCGATGTTGAAGAGATCGAGCTTTACCGAGCTTGCGCCTGCAGCCTTAGTAGAACAGCTTGGAACAACTCTCTCATGCTGTCTTCGTCCCAATCCCTAAGGCCCTAAGGGCTTTCTCTGCTTCGTTCCAAGCTGTCCTGAAAGCTCCAGGTCTTAGACACTGGACTTGTGGTGGCTTGACCCATTGTCCGCCGCATCATGCTGTCATTCTGACACAGGCACATAGACATATATATATATATATACACACACACACATTTTTGATGTACACATGTAATCACATGTGTGTATGCACATATGTGTATATATGTATATGTGTATATATAAAATATATACATAAATTTTTGTATTACATGTATGTTCACATACAAACGCAAAGCTCTTTGAGGTCCAATTTTTCACCGACACAATGTAGAGCCTCCCGAGATGCTCGACGTGGCCACCGAACTCTCTGCGGAAAAAGCTGCTTAAGGGACTTTGTTAATGAGAATCGTTTTTGTTTTTTGTTTTGGAGGGGGGCGGGGGAGGTTACATTGCAGTATAAGTCTTCTGAGAATGCAAGGGGAGTTTGTTACTACTTATGCAGGGCGGTCGCTTGGACGTCTGCAGTTCCAAACCGCCAAATCTTTGCATGCAGCACTATCGTGAGTTTTCTTGTTCTGCGGGTCTTCGATCTCCGAAGCATCCCCAGCCGAAGCATCTGGTTGTGATCCAGGAGACCAACATCGAGGCCATCCGACAAGAAGCTGCAGCGGCGCTCTGCAAAGCCATGGAGGCCCCGCCGAAGTGTCGTCCTCCGGCCGCGGCCGGACTCATGATGCCTGGCATGGAGTGCCCGAGTGCAAGTCCCGAAACTACAGTTGTCCAGTCAGCAAGTCAGCCTGCGCTGTGCGGAAGCCCCGAAAGCCACATGTTTTCAGGAGGGCAGCTTGGAAGCTGCATTGGCGCAGGCGAAGGGTCAGAAGGTTGGGAACGACAGATGTCATGGTGTTCAGCCTCGTGTTGAGAGCTATCATGGTTAGTATTTATGAGTAATTAGGGCGATGACAGCGATACCTACAATGATGATGCGACCATGATGACTGCACTGACTACAGCAGCAGCGACACGGCAACGGAAGCCCTGAAACTCGCGATCATGGTATGACCGTCACAACAGTCGCAGAAAGACTATTTCCGGCGATGTGTCAAGCGGATTGTTCCCAGAATCATAATCAGAAGCGGTATGAGCACAGGTAATGGTTGCTGGTGTTGCTACCACTGTTCTCGTCTTTTGCTGTTCAAGCAAGATCCTGATTATCTTTGCTTTTGTCATTGCATCGGAGAGTCCTTATCAGGGTTAGCGTTCACACACACATTGCTGCAGCAACGGATGGCGGTGGCTGTTGTCACTTGTGTTGTCGACCATACACGTTTCGTTTAGCCACAATTCCACAAGCCTAGTTGTCTTTCGAATTCGTTCGATACCAAGCTCAGTGGTTCCGAGCTCCATTTTGAGAGTTTGTTTTGCGTCTGAAGATCGTGTCTTGTGTCGATTCTTCGGTGCGATGCCAAACATCTTTAGCTTGGCCCGCAACCCGGAAGCCTTGCATCAAAGCTTTGAGCCAGAATGCTGGAAGGAGGTTCTTGAAGGTCAAATCCAGGTGCTAAGGTGCAACTACGGCTTTAGCTGCAGTAGCTTGCAGAGTGTTCAGAGTTTGCCTTTCTCACCTGGCGAAGACCCGATGTCGTTCTGCACAGGAGGTGGACGTCCACATGTTGAAGCAGGCTCGTCCACTTAGAAGGTGGAGACTTCGGTTTCGGCTTGTCTCAATTCGCGAATACCTCGAGACATAGCACAAGCAAAACATCCGCACAAGTATAAGCAGCTTAATGGAACGGCGGCATATCAGCGACAAAATCATCTACTGCAATGACTTTACTGCTGCAAACCGAAGGAATGGAGAGAAAACACCAAGTATAAAGTCATCAGGGACGGGCGAGGGCGACGAAGACGACGCTTATGGTGTTGACCAGGGCGATGCAGATAGTTGTTACTGTGAGTCGATCTGAAGATCGAGCTAAAAATAGCTACGCTAGCCATTCGTTCTGCAAATCTTCGTGCCACCTTTTATGCTCGAAGGAAAAGCCGAAACACGCAGCCAGCTTGTGCGGTTGCATAGTGAGATGTGCAGGCAGGCTTGAATGTCGTTGTTTTCTCGCAGGAAGCAGCCACAGCTTTGCTCCAAGCTGCCCAGGACTTGGGCTTGTGCTGATCTCAGGGTCACGGAAGCGTCTGCGAGTCGTTTACTTGATGACCTGCCGCGGGGTAAAGCTCCAAAGGGGTGTAGTCTTCGGCCTTAAGCGCATGGACATCTTTTCCAGAAGCGTCTGTCCAGCTGATACCAGCTCCAGGACGGAAGCCTCGAGAAGGCCTTTGCCGAAGTGAAGTCGGAGCCGCAGCAGGCCGTCTTGGCACATTGCTGGGGTAGCAGATGAAGAAAACTGTAGATAGCTGCAGCTCGCAGCTCGCAGCTCATAGTCCCAGTGAGTCGCCCTGCCCGCATTGGCCCGCTGCAGTCCGACAGTGTGGCTTGTGCAACATGTCGTGATGTTCTACTTCGCATTCCGGTACGTGGGATTCGAGGGGGTCGAAGACGAAGAAGAAGCGTCAAAGAAGCCAAATGACCTGCCACGCCAAGCTTCAACCTGATGATCAGCTTGGGACGGGAACTCTGAAAAAATAGTGATTGAAGAAGCTTCCACCTGTTTCCCTTTCCAAGTACTTGTGATTTCCCGTGCTGCCAGGAGTTGGAATCTCTTCGAACGGCGGCTGCAGAGACATTGTTGAAGGTGGCCTTGGGTCGTACCTGGATCTACTGAAGTGTGGATGTGATGCTCCGGTTTTTGGCTGTGTTCAGGTTCTCGCATCCGCACATCTCCAGCGCAACCGCACACCACTCCTTGCGGAAACAGCCGAAAGCCTGGGCTCTGGAGCAAAAAAGACTCCCAAAAACCCTAAACCCCAAGTTAGGTGGGAGGGGAAAAGTTAGGTGGGAGGAAAAAACATCTCAAGTTGCCCTAAACAAATTTACACAGCTCCCCGGACTGGGAGGCTGCGGTGGACGGCAGCCTGGAGCAGGCCGCAGCCGGGTTTGAGTCTTCCAAGAAGCTTGCAGCATGTTGAGACTCCCTGTGCCAGAAGATGCCACAAGTAGCAGTGCTATGTGTTGTTAGATGATGTAGGGCTACTTGCTACTTACTACATGCTACATACTACTGCCTGTGTGTTGTGATAAGACTCGGTTCGAGGTTGCACGGTGCCTGTGCGTCACTAGCTAAGACCTACTGCAAGTTGGGATACGTCAAAGATTTGAGCTTATAAACCGGGACATCGTCAGAATGTCTACGATAGTCCTGGTGGGGCAAAAAGGGGATACCATTGCAAATAAGGGAATCCCTTAGGCATGTCGTGCGAGCAGCCGACAGGCTCTGCGAGGAGCTCCAAGGAGCGGGGCTTCAGGCACACCCGCTTCTTGTTATGATGGGTATATGGTATATATGTATATACACATACACACACACATTTATATATATATATATATACACATGTATATATATATATATATATATGTATATGTATATTTGTGAGTTTATCATGAGTCTATTACGGTGTCTTCTGGATATACGACGGATGTGCTTGACTGCCCCTCGACGCCGCGGAAGACTCGGTGCAGATTTGGGCAGGCATTACGTCTGCCGGGACCTCCGAACTGGGCGACCTGGCCACGGACTGGCGGTGCATTGGGGGGCCTTAATAATTAGAATAGGGTTTTGGGGCCCATTATACTATAATATACTATAATTATAATAAGGAACCACCAAAATAATACATGTAATTATTGGGCGTCCAGATTTTTGCTGCCTCTCGCCTGGCCTTGCTAGGACCTGGTGCATGCTGCCTGCCAAGCCGCCGAGACCCCGCAAGGGCCGCTGTCTGTGGTGTTTTCGCAGGCACCTTCTGTCGTGTTGTCAGCCTGGCTCTTTTTCTACTCTCTGCGATCCTGCCATATCTTTTTTTGGGGCTTCCGGGGACTGTAGCATTTTATTTCGCAGCAGCTCGCTATCGGACGTCAGTTGGTGGATTCCTGCGGGCCCGCCTTAAGTCATGTTTTAGTTGCATATCAGGTCCTTCTCTGCATGTAGCGGGGCAGTTTCACTCAAGTTTCCCGAGAGAGAACACTGAAGCAATTCTCCAGCTCGTTCTGGTGATGTGCATGGGTCCTCCACTTTCTGAAACTTACTAATGTCAGGCTGGTCCTAGTTGTAGTGCTGAAATATTGCAAGTTCGCAGAGGAGCCGGTGGACGAAGACTCGCTGTCAAAGGCATCTGTGGGGCGGGGCTGAAGCCTGATGAAGCGTAGACGGTGTAGGGTTTTAGGGTCAAACAGGTTAAGGCTTAAGGGTTACAATAAGGGGCTAGGGTTCAGTAAGACGGGGACCAACTAGCTGCCGTTGGGGGCAATCTTCGCCCAGGCGATCGGATGTTGACCGCATGCAAGAAGTTGCTGACGACCTTACCCTTTCATCTGACTTCTACGCGGCGTGAACAAGCAGGAACATGAGCGCCCAGTGCGTGTACAAGTTCGACTGATTGCGTGGTTTCTGGCAGTCAAGGTTCAGGCGAATGCGCAAGTCCCAATGCAAACAAGGGTTAACAGGAGCCCAGGTGAAGCCTTCGCATCCGAATTGAGCCATCAAGCCATTAGGCCGTATCGCACTGCAAGAGGAATTTCTGCAGGCCAGACCCACACAAACCGCCACAATCTATGGATTGCTTAAACCTCAACATTCCGGTCGCTTGAGGTAGCAGATTCTCTTGGCGAACCCAATGCGTCCTTCTTGAGAAGCGGTAGCTCAGAAGGCAAGGTGCAAAGGCGGAGTTCCTCAAGTTCCATATTTGGGTGTAGCTCCCCCGAGCTCAGCCAACAGACTCCGAGAAAGG